GTTTAAGTTATTTTTGTTGTTCATGCTCCTAGTGTTTTTCCTCTTTAAGAGTGATTTTGTTTTTTGTACCACTATCGTTGAGCTTTGGTTTGAATAAAACCTTTTTTTTGTTAAATTCTGTGAGTTGTGCATTTGAGTTCATACCCGTTTAATCAGTCGTAACAATGGTGCAGTCAGAAGCTGTGCGGGGGAGGGAAAAACAACAAAAACAACCGACTCTCCCATCGCCTAAATATCTTTCCAAACGTACACTTGCACCATCACCACGACCCCCCCTCCCTCCATTCTGGCAGAGGAAAAACAGAACAAAGAAGCAATTTCAAATGTAATTGTGCAACAACACCAATAAACTCTGACTTTATTCCCAATAGACACAACCGTGTGCATGGTTCAGACAGAGTAGGTGTGTTACATAAAGTCCAAAATGGGGGTTGACTTTGCTTTACTCAATATGAACCCTTAGACATTGTAACCATCTTTTTAAATAGGTTTGAGGTATGCTGCTGTTTTGGTGGCTATTCTTATATTCTAGACCAGCCTTTTAGTTTTCAGAAAAAGTAGTTCACTAAAATTATGCACAGCTGTAACATTTACAGAAGCTGCTGAATAACGCCAAGACATCGGCCCACTAAAATCTAAAGAGTAAACATAGGTACTTCAGAAAATCCTTAAAACTAAGTATGTAATGACTAATGGTGATAAGAAATCTGCTCACCCATAACTCCAGCTGCACCAATGATGACATACTGTACCAACCACTTTAATTTAAATGTAGGCCTTTACTTACAGTTGGAATCAATCATCAGACCAATGTGGTTCTAATACATGAACACAGCATGTTCTGCCAAAGTTCCACAGACACACACAAACACACACACACACACACACACACACACACTAGGGCTGCTCGATTTTGGCAAAAATCATAATCACGATTATTTTGGTCAATAATTAATATCATGATTATTAAATACGATTATTCATTGACTTTGAAAACATCCATTTATTGAACTTTAAAATAAATACAAATAATAATTTGAACAGCATCTTTTTAACTGTTGATTACTCTGAATGTATAATTCAACTGAAAAACTAATACTAAAATAAACAACACATTTATATTTACATTTAAATAAATAATATCAAAAATAATAAATACAAGATCAACAAATATTTTGGAGCGCACTTCCACAAGCTACTAAACATATATAAATATGATAAATAAATTCGACTAAAATTAATTAGATCAAATATGTTGTAGTGCACTGTCACAACCTAGCAAAGCAAAATAATCGTTTTTTTCGATTATGTTGTTATCGTAATTGACGCAGGCCAAAATCGTAATTGCGATTAAAATACGATTAATTGCACAGCCCTACTATAACATATAGGGCATGCATTACAATTACAATTAACAAGGTTTTACAATCGACAAGTACACATTTGGGTAGAAATGTATCAATAGAATCAGTATTTATGAAATAAATGAAGTGTAACATGCAGACTGAAGTGTGGTAGAAGCTAGATAACAGAAGTAGAAAGATATATTTCATTATATTATACAGATTGTTTTTACAGTATTCAAATTGTCCAGCTATGAAGGCAGCCAGTAATAACAGTTATGTTATGTAACAGTGGTGCTGTAGTCTTTGTTTGTTTTCATTTGGCTTTTTGACATTATCGCACATTCGTTTATCTTTGATTTGGATGTTTGCAGATCACACGGTTCAGTCATTTTGAGAAATGTAGTTTTATTGGTACATTTCATGCTTGACAGATTATGTAAATATGGATTACTTTAGAATATAAAGTAAGCAGAGGAGGGAGACCATTTCCCGCTATTCAGGGCCACGGCAGTTTGATAACACGTGCACATGGTGTCACGCAGAGCCTCCAGCCATGTTAATGAGCCGCAGAATATTGCCACGATGTGTGGCGGGGGCAAACAGAGCGGTGGCTCCATCATGCCAGCAGCAACTCATGGCTGACTTACAGCTGGCACTGAATCACCGTTAACTACCGGGGCGGCTTCTGCTGACACGAATCTCGTCTCCGACCAGGGTGTCTGAGCCGCGCAACAGGCTAAAGAGGCGTGGGGCTTACCGGCCGATCAATCACTCATTCACCACCTCCTCGGATAACAGCTCTCACTGCCAAACCAAATGATTTCTGGTCCTGTTGCATGCTGTCTGCGCTCACAGTCTGTTTACTCACGGCTGTGGGTTAGAGCGACAGATCATGTTTTCACCAAGAGGCTGTGAGCACATTGTTATCAGTCAGATCAGGCTGCCTCACAACATATTTAAATTCTCTGTCATTCTGGTAACTTGTGTGCTTCTATTCTATTTTAATCTATGTTGTTATTGTGTTTTTCACAATGTATTTTTCTTCATTCGTATGATGTTTTAATTAGGGATGCCAGAAACTGACCATGATCAAAATCGAAAATCGGACAGCCCTGGCAATTATGAATCGATTATTTGCCCCCCCCCCCNTTTTTTTTGTTCATCTTTAGTTGTGTTGTTCTCACTGTTCTGTATGTCGCCAATAAATCAATCACACGTGTGACGGGACGGGACGGGGGGGGCTGCGCTGCGCTGCTGGCTTACTCCAAGTTTACAGTAAAACAAATCGGTGGTGTGACCAATGGCCATTTACAATTATTAATAATATTACTATACATTAGTCTATATTTTGGTTGAAACTAAGCCAGGAAAAAAAAGAACAACATAAATAATAATACAAAAATATATAAATAAATCGAATTAAAAAAAAAAAAATTCGATTATGGAGACTGTAACGAATATTCGAAAAATCGAATAATCGCTGGCATCCCTAGTTTTAATGCTTTGTCAAGCACTTTGTGACTATGTCTGTGAAAAGCGCTTTATAAATACATTTAACTTAATCTTTTTAAGTGGCATTTTGATGATTTAACAATGGATCAGTCATTTGTAGATACTTTAAGGACCCACAGGTTTCACATAGCGTGGGGTGAATTATGTCATCCGACTAGGAATGGTAGATTAATACTGAAGTGTTTGAAATGTCCCCCTACTTTAATAATGACAATCATTTACCGTCAGTCGGCAAAGTGTTACCTCAGTCCCCAGCTAGAAGTCTGTCTTTGACACCTGAGCTACTGGCGTATTATTACAGATGTTAATGTGCAGGGACATATATCAAAAGGACAAGACTGAAATGTGAAGTTCTGGTTGGCCAGCCTGTCTCTTGTCACATCTGTCATCCTTGATTGAGTGCATGCCTGAAAGCACCAGTCTATGGTTTGAGTCTCAGACTGATCCTTGTTTCCTCTTGAACTTCCTCATCTGGCTGGTTTATTTATAACAATGTGTTTATATTTAAAACATAGGAGGAATTGATGTTGTATTCCACTTCCCTAGTCTAAAGAAGTTGAAATAAAGCCAACTTCTGCATTATATTTGGCATCAGTGACCAGCAACTGTGTTCATTTTCATTCCTCCCCTCGTCTTCTCTGTTTCTCGTAAGGTCTCCCTTTCTGTTGGTCGCTTGTTAGCAGACCCTTCACGCGATAGCAGAGCAGGTACAGGAGGCGTAGCTCCAGGGATCATTGTCCACTAGTTAATCGATTGCAGATGGCGTCGTACTCGCGAAAAAGATATACTTTGGCGGCCGTTAATATACCTGGGCGGCCCAAACCCTGGAACTAATTCACCTAGATTGAAATGAAATTGGGATCAATTTGATGGGAACAGGACAGGCTCTGCAATTATGAAGCTAGAATGGGATGGGAAGAACATTTCACTCCCCTATAACCCTCCATTGGAGGCGCCTAGGGATGACCAGGTGGAAAGAGCCCCAGGCCTCAGGCTACCAGAGCAGCTAATGGATCCTGGATCAACGGCCCAGGCTCCTCAGCTTTCACATCAGCTGGTGTATCGAAGGAGTGTAGTGCGAACGTAATGACATGATGCTCTATTACGCCACGATTGGTTGCCTTCTGATTGGCTGCCTTCTGATTGGCTTCACTGCCCCCACCCCCTCCTCAACGAAACGACATCCCCTGTCTGTAATAAGCCACAACAGCAGGGAGGGAGACTTAATGAGCTTTATGGAAACATTGGAGGAAGAAAAGGTTGTTAAAAGACTCTACTGTGCTAAAACAGACTGAGTGCAGTGTCAATTGTGAAAGGGTGGAAGTGCAGAAACGAGAGTAACTGGACGGGCAATATGATGTTGCCAAATTCAAACACTGAGGCTAACCACTTAAGCAGCTGTCTGAGAAACCACTCTCCACAGAAAGCCACAGAAATCAGCGTCATCAGCCTGACACACGTATTGAGCTGCTTCTGTTTTCCATCACACTCTGAAAGCTAAGCCAGAAATCATTTGTTTTCACTGTCAAAGCTTCATTTTCCAGCAGTGACACTTGTCTATCTGGCTCCGTGCTGACACTCTGAGTTTCTACAACTTTCAAAAGTCCCATCTCGACCACAGATATCCAGTCCTGAGAATCAAGGGGACCTGATCTCCACTGCTGGGCTTTCACCAAATACCCTTCCTGCCAAGACTAGAATTGGGTTTGGAAGGGTTGGGTATACACGGCTCGCTTGTATAGCGTGTGTGTCTTTGTTCAACGGCCTCCTGAGCAGCAACCAAGTCCCTCTGCCAGGCTGTTTGTTTGCACGCTAAGCTTTTCAACTGCGTGTTTGTGTGTGTATGAGCGTACTTGTGGTTTACTCCTCCTCACCGTGCTTGCCCAGCGCTGGCCTGTGATTATCCGTGCTGCTGGCTGCAGTTTGGTCTCTGGAAGGCTCTAGTCATCCTCCCCTCCCCCCTGATCCTCTGCCTTTTCCCAGATGCTGCCAGCTGGTGTCCATTGAAGGCAGGTGTGTGTTGGCTCGGGCAGTCTGACTGGTTAGCGTTTGGCCTCACAATTTCAGGCCCTGCACATCTGCACAGCCGACGGAGCAAGGTGCTGCTCTTGCTGCATGCGTGTTTTAACAGTTTAGTGGCCATACAACACCATGGAAGAGCATGGCTTTATATGACCTGCCATAAGTAGGCCTTAGGGCCCGTGTCCACATAGCAACAGCATCTTTTTTCAATGGATTTCAATGAGAACAGTGCACACAGCGACAGAAGCGGCCGTATCCAGAAGAAGTGCTGTGACCAACACGTTATTTTTGCGGCTGCTTCGAGTTTAAAATATTTAAACTTCTAACTGTGGATAACACTGTAGAAAGCTTGATTTCCCCTCGGGTCACTTCAAGGTCCCACCAGACAGATAGTACAAGCTGTGGTGTCCATCTCAATCTTTAGCTGAAAGATAATGTCCGTAGAGTTCAATATGCAGCGTTTGGGAAAACTGACGGTGGCTTACAGCGTGACACTTTTCTGTGTTCTGCTTTGTTATGATGTTGTTTCCTTCCTTGGCCAAGCCTTTAAATAAACCCTCTGTTGTTAGACACAGTCTGTTCTCAGTTCAAGCTTCCAGCAGCCTTTTGGGAGGGAAACCAGCCTTTATAGACCATTAACATGCACAGAAACCTATAACACACTACAGAAAAGGGAAAACCCCAAAAAGCTAATACGGCCTATTTATTTGGACTGATTGGAACAAGAGAGAAAGTGTGGCAGTCTCTCTGTGGTTGCTGTTGGGGTCAGTCAGTGGAGCAGCTATATCATGTTCACCTGAATCTCAGTCTGTGACAAATGGGGTCAACCCTGCAGAAATCCGATTAGAGGACCTAAGTGACGTTTGCCAAATGTCCCACCTTGTTATCCCGTGCATTCATTTGATTACAGCTGCAAGCTAACGAGATGAACCCTCAAAGCAGAGCTGCTCCATCAGGAAGCGGCTGCTGAGACCTACCTCTGCTGCTGTCCCTTTCTCCGTCACCAACCTCTAGGTTCACTCACCTCTCTTTGTCAGTGTGAGCGCGACCACTACGAGACTAATCCCTCTTTATGCCTTGGATCTCCTCCACAGGAAACCCAGGATCAACTCCCAGCTGGTTGCTCAGCAGGTGGCTCAGCAGTACCCCATGCCTCCCCCGCCCAAGAAGGAGCGGAGGGAGAGGAGCGAGCGCTCGGACAAGGAGCGTCCAGAGGGCGAAGGAGAGCGCGCCTTCGGAGAGGTTCGTCCAGAGGTGGAGCGTCCAGAGGTGGAGCGTCCAGAGGTGGAGCGTCCAGAGGTAGAGCGTCCAGAGGTGGAGCGTCCGGAGATCAGGAGGCCAGAGGGAGACGCTCCGGAGAAGGAAAAGAGCGACACCGAACAACAGCCAATCAAAGACAAACCCGACAGAGAGAGGGGAATCATCGCCGCCGTCACGAAGAAGCCCAGCAGCAAAAAGACCAGGTCAGTAAACGTATAGTCTGTTTATCTGTGTGGGAAATGTTACATCCTTTATAAATAGGGAGAACAAAGGCAATGTGGTTAAAGTCAACTGCATTAACAAAAACACAGCATTTTACAAATATGTTCAAAAATATTTTATTTTTTTAGAGACAAACCCTTTTGTTGTGACACACCTTTTAGTTTCTTTAATATTACTTTCACAATAAGCCTTTCACAAAACTTTTCTCACACACTCGACAAAAGCCGCAGAAACTCTACTTCAGTACAAAACGTAATCATGAGTGAGAGATGTGTTTCCTCAGCGAGGACGTTACTGAGGTGAAGAAAATACTGCCAATTCCCTTGATATGATGGTGGAGACCAAAGCAAACGATTTAAGGTTTAAGACCCCCCCACACACACACACAGCGTAACTAAGGAGCACTATTGGAGTTAATTTGATGGTTATTGGACTCAGGACTAATTCATTTGGATTCCCGCTGAATGAAGAAATTAAAGGACGGCAGAAGTGGAAACAATTCACAAAGGGATTAAAGTGTTTAAAACACATGCTCAAAGTAAGCCGGATTTTGCCGATGTGTTTATGTGGATTCAAAAGTCGTAAATAATCTACAAAATGGAGGAGACCGATCTGATCGGAGCAACTGTGACAAATAATCCAACTGAAACCGGCATGGACAATGACCATGTTTTA